AAAACCTCCTCCGCCCAAATTTCTGAGCCTTTAAACCCTCACTGTAGTACTTCTGACAGCCCTAAACCCCAAACTCCATACCCCCAACCCGGCGTTTGGGATGGAACCCCCAACAAGGCCGGAACGCGGGTTGAGGGTGTATAGGCTTAGGTTCATACGCTCTTCAGTGTTCGCGACGTGCCTAAACTCTACTTGTATCCGAAGCCCTGAAAGGTTTTCTCTAAGGGCTTAGGTGGGGGGGCCCTCTCCGTCGGGCGTGGAGGGGTAGCCAGCCTTTTTCGGCTTCAGCTTCGAAAGCATCTTCTCCTGAAGCGGGTGGGGGGGGAGAGGGGAACGAAGGCACCATCCCCAGGGTTCGGGGTTGAAGGCTGAGGGTGAAGGGGTTTAGGGTTTACGTTAGGTTTAGGGTTAGTGCTGTTGGGGTTTTTTTTTGTCAGGGCCGTGCGCGCGATGCAGCTGCGCGCTTTGGCGCCCTCCCGGAACTGTCTGACTCCCGAATGACCCTAGCTATTTCGACATACTTGAAGTGTGGGCCTAGGGTGCGGGTACGGGCGGTGTGGTCAGGATCCCAATACTGCGGGTAAAATCTTTTAGTGAGGACTTCTAACCAGTATGGTATCTGCATTCCGCGACGTCTTCCTTGCGCTAGAATACGGTCCTTAAAGGCAGCTGTAAAAACCACACTATGTGTTGGTTCCGCTCTGGGGGCCATAAATACTTGTTTAAGGGTTTTATGCTGGGCGTTGAGGATGTGTGTAGATGGTAGGGTTGGATATCCTGCTTTTCTCATAACTTCCGTGTTTGGGATGCGGGAGTAGTAGGATGCTTTGACGCGAACCACTCTTCTTAGGAACCGAATGAAGAAAGCATCCACCCTGTCTAGTTGTTTTTGCGTAAGAGTGAGGGTATCCAACGCGTAAATAAGTGTGGGCGTGAAGGTAGACTGGAAAATACGTAAACGTACCGCCTGGGAAAGGCTACTGTTCCATACTAGGCGGAGCTTCTTAAATGCTTCCTCGGCTATAGCTGCTCTATGTAAGAATGCGGCGTCAAAGGGTTTTTTCCATGTGATCCTGGTGCCTAAATACTTGATTTGCGGTGTGGTCGGGACGGCCGCGCCATCCGTAAAGTATAGCGGAGAGGAGGGGCGATCGGGATTGATTAGGAGCTCAGTCTTGGTTTTATTTAGGTGCATACCGTATTCATGTGCTACTGACTCTAATGATGTGAGAATGGCCTGCATCTGCGGTGTGGTCAAAGCTAACAACAATGTGTCATCCGCGTACTCTAAATCGAACGTTGGATAGCCTTCTGACCATGTGTTGGTGGGCGTGCCTTGGAGTAGTAAGTCGTTATCAACATCCGCAAGCATGACTGTGAGTACTATAATGAACAGATATGGGCTTAGGGGACATCCTTGCCTAATACCTGAGTGTACAGAGCCTGCTGCGGCGGTGTGGTCGGGTCCTCTGGTGTAAAAGGTTGGAGACTGATATATAGCCTGTATTGTCTTGAGCATAAGTTCTGAAACACCGAAACGGCGCAACGCTTCGAGCATGGCGGTGTGGTCGAGTGAGTCAAAGGCCTGTTTCCAGTCTAGGAATAATAGTTGTAATGGTTTGTTTGTCATTTCCGCCCACTCCATGGCGCGGCGTAAAACAAATATGGGCTGTTGTGTGCCTCTACCTTCTCGAAAACCGTACTGTCGACTGCGAAGGAAATGCTCACTTGATTTTGCGAGGCGGTGTTGTAGCATAGCAGCGTATATTTTGTAAATGGTGTTAAGTAAAGAAATGGGTCGATAGTTGGTGACGTCTGTGTCTAGGCCTTTACCCTTATATATTGACACTACTATTGCTTCGGCCCATGGTCCCGGGATGTCGCCTTCTGCCCAACATTTGTTGTAGATATTCAAGAGCGCTGCTTCTCCTTCCCTGTCTAATAGCATAAACAGCTCGTTCCTCACCTGGTCCGGTCCCGGAGCCTTTCCGCCTTTACTTTTTTGAATGGCCCGTTGAAGGTCGTCCAAAGTGAACCGTCCTTCATCAGGGAGTTGTGGACGTAATCCCGGTCTAGCTTTACGTCTAGCGGCGGTGTGGTCAGGGATGTTGGGCGGAGCCCATTGCGAACCCTCGAGGTGATCCCTGAAAGCGGCGTGCGATTTTGACCATGGGACTGGCTTCCCGTTTACAATTAGATGCGATTTTTTCCCCACGAAACCTTTTTTCTGTCGGCGAACTGCATTCCAAAGCGGTGAGTGACTGGCATCCGGGTCTGCTAAAAGTTGGTCATGAACCCAGTCGATTCTATCCTTGCGCGCTGCCCTCTTGGCTTTGTTTCTTTGCGTTTTCCAATCTTCGCGACCTTCCGCTTGCGCTGCCCGTGCCTGGGCCAGGAGCTGTAGGGTGTGATCTTTGATCCATGGTGTGTGCGCGCGTCGTTCTTTGTAAGGAAAGTGATCCGCCGCAGCCTGCTTCATGGCGTGCACCATGGTGTCCGCTGACATGGTGGGGGTGTGGTCCTGGGGCGGAGTGTCCGGGGGAACCATGTTACTTCCGCCGTTGCGCCCCTGTGTACGCCCAGCGTTGGCGAGCGCATCCGCCTTTTCGTTACCTTCGGTGCCTGCGTGCGCCTTGACCCAATGAAACGAGACTGTCATTCCTGTTTGTGTTGAGAGTGTGTGTGCACGGCCAACTAGTGTTTTATGTGATTTTGCACGCCATCTGCCCGTGATGACGTTGATGGCCCACTGGCTGTCCGAGTATATATCTACTCTACCGCACCCTTGCTCCAAGGCGTATAATAGTGCCTCTATAATAGCTGTCAGCTCCCCAGTGTTGTTAGAACCTACCTGGGCCCCATAGTAAAATCTGGCGGTGTGGTCAGTTTCCACCCTGCCCCGCGCGGTGATCCACTCCCCGTGTTGCTTGGTACACCATCCCCAGCCCGCTGGTGTTGTTTTTGTGCATCGTCCACCTGTTCCCGAGCCGTCCGTATAGAAGCTCATTCTGGCGGTGTGGTCAGAGTCAGAAGACCCATCCTTACGGCTACTTTGCGGGGAGCCCCGAATTTGTGCGTTATAAGCCAGTCTTTGATCAATGCTTACTCTAGAGAAGTCAAATTCTGGGGGCTTTGGTGGTGGGGGGTCTCTACGTGCCAACTTAACCTGCACTTCCGTTACCAGGAGATAATGGTCCGACGGGTACCCTGTATGCAATTTAGATCTACATGAGTTAACGGATGAAAGCCATTGTCTCCTAGTGAAGGTGTGGTCTAGCCGCTGAAAGCGAACGGGGTCGGGTGAGGGATCTACTCGGGGCGGAGGAAGAGGTTGCGCCAGCGGTAAGAAGCTGCGTATTCTGGCCGCTACTTCCAAGGATTGTGATGGCATCACTCTATGTAGCTCTGAATACACCTGCTGCATGATCAAAGGGTCCAAGACGTACTGCGACCAATCCTTTGGGGGGGCTGTTTTATCCCGGAAAGTGATGTGGTGAACTGGGTTGGGTGTTTTGTATGAGGCGACCTCCAGCATATCTAGAAGAAGCATTGTTCGAACGCACAACGAGCGGTTGGATTGGGCGGTGTGGTCGATAGCTTGCGAACCCTTTCCGTATGTGAATGGCCCTGTAACGCCCTCATCATGTTTGTGTTGTGCTTGAAACCGAACATTAAAATCACCCGTAAGATACACTGGTTCTGGTTGGGGTATTTTCGCCACATATTCCTCTAGGGATTCCCAAAACGGTTGCCGAACTGTGTCATGATCATGACCTGAATGTGGCGCATACGCTCCTAACAAGTGTATCCTACCTCCCCTCTTGTTGAGTATGATATGAATAAGCCTATTGTTGACCTGGACTATGTCAGCAAGGTGTGGTCGGATGTCTGGACTCACTATAACCCCTACCCCAGAGTGCTTATCTTTGTTATTACCAGACAAAACGACTAAGTGTTGCTCTGAGGTATAGGAGTAATACGAAGTCGATTTAGTTTCTGATAGGAACATAACATCCAGGTTGTGTTCCTTCATCATAAGCAACAGGTTTTTGAGCTTGAGGGTATCAGCCATACCTTGCACATTCTGACTACCGACTCTAAGCTTGCGATTGTAAGCTAGAGGCGGTGTGGTCTGGGGCCCATTCTGTTTAGGCTTCTTTTTCCGTGTGATTTTTTGCTGCCATAGGACGTTTGTCCTGAACCACTGTGCCCTGTTTTGGGGGGCTTTTGTGGACTGGGGGGGTGTGGCTGCTGAGGAGTCCGCCCTCAGAGCCTTTGTATTTTTGCAGGCCTGCTGCCATTGCCTGTAGCACCTACAAGAGGTCCTACGAGCATTGACTCCCCTGGGCCTATCAATGTGACACCCTCCCTTGTGGGGACACTCTTCGTGCTCTCCAAAAGGAGTCCCGGCTTGCCTCTCGGAGGCGGTGGTCGGCGGTATTCCAGCTGAGGATGAATTCCTTTAATTCTTCGAATTCTAGGGTGTGTTCTTCTACGAAGGGGTTTAAAATTGTGCCATGTACCATTAGCAAGGCGGGTCCTTCTACGTCTACCAGTTCTGGAGGGTGAGGAACCGACGGCTCCAACCTGAGCAGTGGAGGTGACTCACTACAAACCCCTCTAAACTGAAGCAAGGTATATTTGGAGTACTGGAGATCGGATATTGGGCTAATTGGGAGTAAGGCCTCCAACCTTAGGGTCAACTTGGGTCGGGTGGTGGTCGTGGTATTACCCGTAATAGCATGCATAAGTTTGTTCCTAGTTCTTTGACTACAAAGGCGTTGTGCTTGGTTCTTTGTAGGGTCCAGATCGGGAGTCAGAAAAGAAAGCGAATTAACCCCTGGCTGTATGGGGGTGTGGTCATTGGCCCCTCTTCTCCTGTTAGAAAGTTTCAAAGGTGGAGTGCAGGCGCGTAACGAAAAAGAAACATGCAGAACCTTGCTCTGAGCTCTGACCCTTAAAATGTCGGGGAGCGTGGTGAGCATGCTAAGAGGACCCCGTCAGGCGGTGTGGCCTTGCTTGCCTGCGCCCTTGCTTGTGGGCGGTGGGGCCTTTGCAAAAGGGTTCTCGGAACGTTCCATCTCTACGTCCTCTGCCGCGGCGGTGTGGCTAGCGGCGTCGGGTGCGACGGGCTTCCCTTGGTAGGTGGCGGCTGCAATGTCGCCCACCTGTTGTTCTGGGACGCCCATCTTTTGACAAAGTTCGTCCCAGACGAACGCAACTTGCTCCACTGCGTTGTGCTGGAGCTCAAAAGGGTACGGCGAGAAATAGGAGTTGTGGAGCACTACATTGGACCAATGCTTGCGGGATTTTCCCACAAAGGTCCCTTTTCCGGCGGTGTGGCCATCATTCTTGGCCTGCCGGTAAGCGATACGCTCCATTTCATCCAACTCGAATTGCGTGCCCCAGATCACCGTATTCCAGTGTTCTGCAAAAAGCGTCTCCTCCTTACACCCCACCGTGGTAGGAGGAGAGTGCATGATACGGGTCAGCGGTGTGGCCGTCTCCAACCGGGCCTGAAAGGAGCCTTCGGCTTCCTCGTAAAAAAGCCGACACCAGGCGGTGTGGTCGGGTTTAAAGTCCGGACCCTCGACTGGCTCCATAATTGTGAGGCTTTTCCAAAGGATGATGAGCCTCTTTCCCTGTGTTTCAGGGTGTGCATTCAGCACCGAAATGACGACCCTCAGTGGCATCTCTAGTTTTCGCTGCCACTGAGGTGAACAAGGTGAGACGCGGACGTGCTTGCCGGTGATTGGCACCGTGGGGGCGGTGTAGAGAGGGGTTCCACCCTGCCCTCCATACCGCTTTAAAAATGCCTGCCGAAGGTCCCAGGATTTGAAGTGCAGCATCGTCATTCCACTCCAGAAGGTACCCTGGGGTACCGTGGTAGGGTCCGTGTTGAGGATATTGAACCACATCTGCGCGTGCTGGGCGGTGTGGTCGGCATCCTCGCGAAGGAACCCACGGTTGCGCAGGAAATTCTGTGCCTCTGGGAGCTGCTCAATCATCCAGCCGATCATGAACTCACGTTGCTCCGGCTTGAGACCGTTGGGCCAGCCAGTTGTGACCAGTAGCAAGCCGCACGACCTCTTCTGCTCCGAGCGATTGTCTGCCGTCATGAAGGCCAGTTCACGGCGACAGCTAAAGACTGCGTCGTTCACCTTGAGCAACGCACTTTCCAGCTGCAGCACGAGGCCGTACATTTCAGGACGCACCACTGCCTTGTGGTACCCACGAACGATGCGCAACACGTCCTTGGCGGTGTGGACAGGAGCGGCCAAAACCTGCTGCACCGATTGCGGGTTGTTCACATCTGCGCCCAACTCACCGGCTGTGACTTGGAAGGCCGTTTCATCTTCCAGAAGGGTTGGTACCACCAATCCACTCACCGGGCCGTCTGTCGGAACTGGGGTGCCCTCCTGCGGTGTGGTCAGCCCTGAGGCGACCGGCGTGGGGGGCTCACGCCTCTTGCGACTGTGCTCCTCAAAGAACGCCCCCTGTACTGTACAGATCTCCGTTCTGCCAGCGTAGAACTCCCTTTGCTGTTGGAAGGCTGCTTGGAACTGTTCCTTGCTTCCACGCGCTGGGTCTGTCATGGCTTCGGAGATAAGTGAAACTTGCCTCTTAGAGGTGGTGTGGCCAAAGGGAGGCCTCTCGAAAACTGGCACGTGCACTACTTGCAAGCTGGCTAGCCGAAAGCCTGCTGTTGGGGTTTAGGGCTTAGGGTAGGATGGCACGGGCTAAGGTGTCTAGGGCCTTGCGATATTCAGTAGCTTACGACGTCTTGTTCAGGGCATACGCCCCTCATGCTTGCGGTCAGCGTACCTGGACGGTGAAGGGCCTCACAACTTTCTATGTTCCAAGCTTTTTAGCGTGAATCCCTGGGTTTCGGGTTTAGGGTTTAGGGTTCAGGGTTTCCCTGATTCTAAACAAGCTCCAGGCGTGAACATGGTCCGTGACTGCCTGCCGCGATCCGGGCGATCCTCTTTAAAGCCCTCAACCCTAGACCCTAGACCCTAAACCCTAAACCCTAAACCTAAACCCTAAACCCTCAACCCTCAACCCTCAACCCTCAACCCTAGACCCAGCCCTAAGTCCTAAACCCTAAACCTTCAGGTGCCTCACAGGTCTGTGATGAGTACGAGGGGCGGGGACCAGGGGAACAACTGGAGATACAAAGTCGGGTAAACCCGAAACCCGAAACCCTAACCACAAAAGGTTCCCCGAAATATACTCCAAACATTGCCCTTAGTTTCCCTTAGGGAACCCTAAACCCCTTTTTTAGTTTGCATGAATGCTGCCAAGTCAGAGCAGAGCGGGCTTATCTCAATGGGCAGAGATAAACTAGTCAGACAAACCTACTCGCCAGGATAAACACAAGCAAGAGGTTCAAGCGTTGCTGCGCAGTCAGCAACATGCCCCCTGACCCTAAACCCGAAGCCCTAAAACCTGTAAGCCCTAGCCCCTACTAAGCCCAAAAAGCTGAAAGGAAGCCCCAAATCTTAGCCCCAAGTGTTGCAACCTTAAACCCTGAATGCCTAAAACCTAAAGCCCTAACCCTAAAGCCCTAAACCCTAAACCCGTAAAGCCCTAAACCCTAAACCTTGAAACCCTGAAGCCCTAAACCCTAAACCCTAAAGCCCTAACCCCCCAAACCTAAACCCCTAAACCCTAAAGCCCTAAACCCAAAAACCCTTAAAGCCCTAAGCCCTAAACCCTGAAACCCCAAAGCCCTAAACCCTAAACCCTAACCCCAAAAACCTAAACCCCTAAACCCCTAAACCCCTAAACCCCTAAACCCTAAAGCCCTAAACCCTAAACCCTCAAAGCCCCTAAACCCTGAAACCCTAAAGCCCTGAACCCTGAACCCTAAACCCGAAACCTTAAACCCTTAAAGCCCTAAACCCTGAACCCTAAACCCTAAACCCTAAACCCCTTAACCCTAAACCCGAAACCCTGAAACCCTGAAGCCCTAAACCTAAACCCTAAACCCTAAACCCTAAACCAAAAATTTCATCTTTGCCTGGACGCTGCCGCCCCGCCGCAGGAGCTCCTTGAGGATGCTCGCGATGTTTCCTCGATGCTAGGATGGCTTGGGATGTTCCTCCTTGTAAGAAAACAGTCCGTAGTAGGGTTTAGGGTTTAGGGTTTCGGGTTTAGGGCTTAGGGCTTAGGGTTTAGGGTTTAGGGTTTAGGGGTACTAGAATCCCTATTTCGGGCTGTTCAACATCCCAAAGAGCCCCCAATACGCCTTAACAAAGGAACATGCCTTAAGACATACAGGGTTTAGGGTTTAGGGTTAAGGGTTTAGGGTCTAGCAAGGGGTACTCCTATTTTGGGATCCTTCATGTATGGTTTAAGGTATATTTCCTAATTAAGGGGTATTGAGCTCTTTCGGTTCCTGAATATGAGCCTCTTAACCCCAATAAGGGGAAACCAATGGTTTAGGGTTTAGGGTTACGGTTTAGGGTTTGGGGTTTAGGGTTTAGGGTTTGGGGTTTGGGGTTTCGGGCTTAGGATTTGGGGTTTAGGGTTTGGGGTTTAGAGGTTTAGGGTTTAGGTTTAGGGTTTCGGGTTTAGGGTTTGGGGTTTAGAACATGAGCCTCTTAACGCAAAAGGGAAAATTTAATCATGTCACAAAGGCCTACCGAAGATGGGCGAGGGGGAAGAGGTTTAGGGCTGGAAAGGTGGAGGAACCCCCAAAGCCCTAAACCCGAAACCCTATATATCAGGTTTGGGAAGTGCCTTTTGAGGAATCTAGGGCTCCAAGTTGTGATTTGCAGCTAACCCTAAACCCTAAACCCTAAAACCTAAACCCTAAACCCCAAACCCCAAACCATTGGGCTGGTTTGCTTAACAGAAAGGCCGTGAGCGCTTGCTAGACACGAGCTGGAACTTGGGCCCGGCGTTTGTCTTATGTCCGCCTCCGGAGCCTTCAGGAGATTAAATCCATAGCATCCGCCTTCCACAGTACCAGCTTGGGATGTTCCCTCTTATACTAACGGTCCTGAATAGGGAGTATAATAGGGGGGTTTAGGGTTTAGAGTTTAGGGTTTAGGGTTTAGGTACTATAATGGGTCCTGAATAGGGAGTATAATCGGCGGTACTATAATCCATATTCAGGACTGTTAGTATAAGGGGAGTATAATAGGGGGCACTATAAGCCTTGTTGGGGACTGCTAGTTATAAGGAGGAACATCCCAAGTCGCAGCTGTTGTAGAAAAGAACCTTCTCGATCCGTCCACATATATTTAGACTAGAAGGCCTGGAGGCCCTGGGACACGATGCTTTGGGCCGTCCAAAGCCGCAAGGCACAAAACCATAACTCATAATGATGATAACTGGGGTTTAGGGTTTAGGGTTTAGGGTTGATGATCATACTAATAGTTAGTTCTGCCCTAAACCATACATCGAAGCCTAGCTTCTGCAGTCATCCAGCCCACAGTGGTGGCGACCTGCCCGGGGAGAAACGCTTGTGTGCCCGGTTCACGCCGTTTTACGAGCAACCTACCCTAGACCCTAAACCAGAAGCAAACCTTTTTGGGGGCTTCATGGTCTCTGTAGAAGGGGTAAAACAGCCACTACACGCGGGGCGGGGGCAGGGAGGTGGGGCGGTCCGGGATGAAAAGACACCACGCTGCACAGCGCCCCCCAACATGTTCAAAAGCGCAGCCACTTCTCCCCAGCCCCCCCCCCCCCCCAACAATATATTAAAATGAATCAAGCGGTGCCCTCCCTGCCATTACGTCGGCTGCGTTCACATGAACACATTCAACACAATACGAGGCGATATGAATAGCGACATGACGCGGAGAGAGGACGAGCGAAAACGAGAGAGAAAGAGAGAAAGAGAGAAAGAGAGAAAGAGAGAAAGAGAGAAAGAGAGAAAGAGAGAAAGAGAGAAAGAGAGAAAGAGAGAAAGAGAGGCAGACGGAGAGAGAGGCAAGGAGACAGAGGAGAGGAGCGAGGGAGCGAGGGAGCGAGCGAGCGAGAGAGAGAGAGAGAGAGAGCGCGGGAGAGACGGAGAGAGCACAGTGCCAGCGCGGCAGAGAGAAAGAGAAAGAGCAGAACAAAGAAAGCTCCCCACCTTCCAGAGGAAGGCCTAAGGCCTTCAGCATGCCATCCATGCCTGGCACTGTTTAGGGTTTAGGGTTTAGGGTTTAGGGTTTAGGGTTTAGGGTTTAGGGTTTAGGGTTTAGGGTTTAGGGTTTAGGGTTTAGGGTTTAGGGTTTAGGGTTAGGGTTTAGGGTTTAGGGTTTAGGGATACTTCCCAAAATAGGGGTATCGTATTGGGGTCCTTGAGGGGATCCCACTATTTGGGGATGTATACCGGCGGTCCCCTATTTTCGTAAACCCCCATATTCCTAACCGTACCCTACATCTTTGAATGCACCAGGCGAGTTTCCTAGTGGGAAGTTCGTGTGATACGTGATGACGTTAAGTAGTTATGAAGGGATCCGAATGGGAATTATAGAATAGGGTTTTGGCGAAGGGAATAGTATTGGTAATTATTCGACCCCTATAGTGGGCTTGCCAGCTGGCCTGTCTTCTCCTTGCCGGTGACCTTTTCGAAGAGGTTCCTCTTAGCGGATTTCGCTAGGCTTAGGCTGGTTCTTCAACCCCCTGAGAAAGTATTCCTAGACGAGTACCCTCGTAAACGAAACAATGGAAACATGTCCCTAAACCCTACCTATGCCAGGACATGTGCCAAAACTTCAAGGTTTAGGGTTTAGGGTTTAGGGTTTAGGGTTTAGGGTATAGGTTGAACCCAAACTTCACTCTTTAGGGTTTATCCCTCCTTGGGCTTCTGGAGGCCTATGAAGCCGAAGTCCCACCCCGCGATCTTCGACACACTTCGGGGATTGCTTCGGGCCCTAAACCCTAAACCCTAAACCCTAAACCCTAAACCCTAAACCCTAAACCCTAAACCCTAAACCCTAAACCCTAAACCCTAAACCCTAAACCCTAAACCCTAAACCCTAAACCCGCGCGACGAGTGTCTTGACGTTCAGCCAGCGCATGAACTCTGCAGGCACTGCCTCCTGCAGCATCGGCTCAGGGTTTAGGGTTTAGGGTTTAGGGTTTAGGGCTCAGGGACACTCAGTTTTGTTTTTCGCTCAGCTGAAGCCAAAACCCCACTCTAAACAAACTCGAGACCTAAACCCTGCACTCTAAACTATGGGGGTTATAGATTGGGATGTTCTTATGCTAACAGTCCTTCATCGGGATTATAAGGGGAGGTACTAGAATCCCTATTAAGGACAGTATAAGGGGGAGCATCCCACGTTATAGTAGAAGTGTAGTAGGGCGGCTAGGCCACGGTTTGCAAAAGCTGGTGGGCAGGGCTCGGGAGGTTCAGGGTTTAGAATTTAGGGTTTAGGGTTTAGGGTTTAGGATCCGCATTGAGCAGAGCCATGAATGAGACCAAGACCCGGAGAGGTCTTGATTTCTCATGGCTCAGACGTCTGGGCTCTTTAACAGCTCTGGTGCTTTGGCCTATTGTGCCACCTCCCGGCCATTGCCGACGTGGTGCCCCAAGCCTACACGCACTCAGCCAGCAGCCCGAAGGTGTCACTCTTCGGTGAGGCTTCCGGCGCAGCAGTTGCAAAGGCCTGTCCACAGAAGAACGCCCCCGAGAATGCACATTGCCATCCCAACAGGAACAAAAGCGATCAAGGGTGCTTGAGGGGGACTCTTGCTCCAGTAATCGTACCTGTCGACGACCCATGTGGCTTGACCAGAGGTCACCGTGTAAGTACCAAACTCTCCACCCATTTCGATGTGACCAGTTAGCTCCAACTGCGGCTCGGAAATGCGCCACGCGCGGCACTCAAAATGGACATCGTCTCCACTTGGCGAAGTGATGCGCAAGGTGCGGCAATGCTCAGTTCCGTTGGTGCCTCACTCACGCAGGAAAGTGAAGCCAAAGCGAGGCTCAATGGCCGTGAGGGTAAAGTTCTCTTTACCATCTATGATGACCTCACCTGGTGATGATATCTGGATGTAGAAACATACGATCAACAGCAGACATGTTATCAGGCCGGCCGCCACCAAACAGCATCCGGCGTAACGCAGCTTCTTGGCGCGGGCAACCATCAGAGGCAAGGCGCAGGAAGGGAAGCTCTGACAGGCAGACTCCTAGTTTCGAGCATTGCTAGAAGCCCCGCGGAAGGCTTCATCACAAGGCCTCATGCGGGCTTTTTTTTTGGGTGGGGGGGGTAGTTAGAGGCAGCGCAGTAGATCATCCCAGAATCCCAGAATGGCTTATGCACGATCGTGCGAAGAGAGCTCCGTCACGAATGGCTTTTGTAGCCTTCAACCCGGAACTCGTGAGCAGGGGCACAGGGTTTTCTATACGCCCCTCGACACCTAAGCCCTAAACCCTAACCCTAAGCCCTGAACCTCTGTATTTCCTGTATCCGCCTGGGTTTTGAAGGTTAAACAGAGAAACAACAACTTCCTATAGGAGACTATCGCTTCTTCTGTGCTTTCAGTGCTACGCCTTGAAATCGAAGAAACAGGCTCTTCAAAAAGGTTCAGGGCAAAAGTTAGGGCTTCGGGTAAAGGGCTTGGAGAAAGAATAAAGGGTGTAGGGCATAGGGTTTAGGGCATCAGGTGAAGGCCTAGGCTTTAGGGTTTAGGGCATAGGGTTTAGGGTTTAGGGCACAAGGTTTAGGTTTGTTCGGGAAGGGGGGGGCTTGGGCGGCGAGGCTCGTTGTGCAGCTTGCACTGGCTTGGCAGCATCTGCCGCAGGTCCCAGTCGCCACAGGTGACCAGCAGACACCTGCACGGGTTCAGGGTTTAGGGTTTAGGGTTTAGGGTTTAGCGTTTAGGGTTTAGGGTTTAGGGTTGGGACCCTTACAAGGGACCTTAGAGGTTATTTGGGGGTTGTTTAGGGGCTACTTCGGTATATGGGGACGCTATAAGGTATATCCCGAAGTCCCAAGCCCGACACCCCTAAACCCAAACTCTCCCAAAACCCTGAATCCACCCTGCGCCCCGTAGCACCCTCATTCCTCCTTTTTTGGCTATTCCTAAACCCTAAACCCTAAACCCTAAACCCTAAACCCTAAACCCTAAACCCTTAACCCTTAACCCTTAACCCTAAACCCTTCCATTTTTGCACAAACACGAGCAAACAGGTGTCCTGACGTAGGACTTCAGGCTTTGGGTTCGGGTTTGCGGGTTAGGCCACGTTACAAACTCCTGAAGTCGCCCTAAACCCTAAACCCTAAACCCTAAACCCTAAACCCTAAACCCTAAACCCTAAACCCTAAACCCTATACCCTAAACCCTAAACCCTAAACCCCCCAACAAGGGGTTCCATCCAAGGGGCAGCCAAGCTTCGTCTAGGGAATACGGCGGTTGAGCAGGGCCCTTAACCGCAGAAGCTCAGGGTGTTGAGGTTTAGGGTTTAGGGTTTGGGGTTTAGGGTTTAGGGCTCAGGGTTCACGAGCTCCTCGAGCCGGAGACAAGCCCTGAGTCCAAACCCAAACTCCGAACATGCCGGTTTAGCGCTTAGGATTCAGGGTTTCAGGATGCTGCTGTGGAATTGTTCGGCACAAAGCCAAGCATCTGGGCTGCTCATGGGTAGGTATAAGAAGGGCCACGCTAAACCCTAACCCCAAACCCTAACCCTAAACCCGAAAATGTTACCCTAAACCCGAAACCCTAAACCCCAAACCCCAAACCCTAAACCCTAAACCCTAAACCCCAAACCCTAAACCCTAAACCCTAAACCCTAAACCCTAAACCCTAAACCCTAAACCCTAAACCCTAAACCCTATCAGCCCACGGAGTGCCGTCGGAGCCTGGTGTAGGACCTCGTCTCGAGGCTCTCCTTCCACCACGCCTGGACCTCCCGAGGATCTTGGGAGCTTTAGGAGGTTTGGGGGGTTTAGGGTTTAGGGTTTGGGGTTTAGGGTTTAGGGTTTAGGGTTTAGGGTTTAGGGTTTAGGGGGATTAGGGGTTTAGGTTGTTTAGGGCTTAGCTGGTTGCGGGGTTGGGGTTTAGGGCCTTCCCGATTCGTGGCTATCGGAGGCCAAGGCCATAGTTTAGGGCTCTCAACCTCTAAACCTCAAATCCCCTAAACCCGAAACCCCGAACCCCAAACCCCAAACCCTAAACCCTAAACCCTTGACAGCTTCGCGCGGTGCCCCCCAGAAGGATACTTCCTTGTGACGTAGCTTACAACACAGAAGAGAGATTAAAGACCAGGGAAGCTTCAGACTTTCCATCCCAGTACTTTCTTCCAAGCATTTTCCGGAGCCATGAACCTTTCATGTCCCTGGATTTCTTGATGTGAAGAAACAAGCTTGCGTACACAGATGTTGGGGGCTGTTACGGAAACAGTGCATAGCTAAATAAAATTCCGACCCTAAAGGTAAAAGTCGGCACGGGCCCAAAACCCAGAAGCCTAAGCGCTATCGCTGCTAAGGAAGGTAAAAACTCAGCTACCGTGTTGTTTATCATATATCCCTATGATGCCGGTTTGGCTCAAGCTCGTTAACACAACTCCTAAACCCTAAACCCTAAACTCTCATGTAAGCCGAAAAGCCATTGAAGGGATCCTGGGAGGGTTGAAGGGGATTGGGGGCTGAGGGGTGTGAGTTGATTTAGCAGGGCTAAGGGTTTAGGATTTACGCTTTACGGCTTAGGGCTTGGGGCCCGCAAGGTTAAGGTAGATATCAGGAGCTTTAGGGGGTTGAAGGGATTTGGGGTTCAATAGAGATTTGGGGATTGCAATGACGGTTTTCGGCTGCTTTCCCTAAGGGTCCATGTACCTGTATAGTATATACTTGGGCCTTAAAGGGGTTCCCATAAAGTAGCTTTAGGGCCCAGGTATATACTATATAGGTACATGGACCCTTAGGGTTTGGGGTGGCCAAAATACAAGGGTCGCAGGCGCCTTCGGCAAGGCCTCACGCCAAGAGGGAGCCGCACTGACATCGGTTTGCTGGATGCCTGCATGCGCACGACATGGCCACAGCTTCAAGGATCAGGACTCAGCGATTTCACAGACGTGCCCAAATGCGTAAACCTTACATCCTAAACCCTAAACCCTGTCTGCATCCTCAACACGACCTCAACCTCAAGTATTCATGCCTGTTCGACTAGAGTGGGTCTGTTGGGCGGACCGAAATCCTGATGCATCGAAGGTAACAAGAGAGCGATTGGCACGGCCAGGGAATTTCTGCATAGATACTCGCCATACGCAGTTTTGCCATATACATGGTGCTCTCAAGCAGTCAGCCAAAGCTTGTCAAGCACCGATAGGGTTTAGGGTTTAGGGTTTGGGGTTTAGGGTTTAGGGTTCAGGGTTTAGGGCTTAGGGTTTACTGCTGCATGTTGCTATCCTACTGAGCATTCCTTGCGGCGAAAGTGGAACCAGGCAACCTTGGACAAGAGCGCCTGAACTAAGAAGCTCAAGAGGCTCAAGAGACAGCTGATAATTTTCCCGCACCCAAAAGGCAGGTTTCATTTGACTGCCAATGTGGTGCGACCACATGGGGTCACCCTAAACCCTAAACCCTAAACCCTAAACCCTAAACCCTAAACCCTAAACCCTAAACCCTAAACCCTAAACCCTAAACCCTAAACCCTAAACCCTAAACCCTAAACCCTAAACCCTAAACCCTGAAGAAAGGGAGTCACGAAGTTGGAGTCTCCCAGCTGTTTGCACCGATGAGGGAAGACGGGAGACTCTCTGGCGTGCTGCAGGGAAACGCTTGTGAATACCCTTGGAGCTCCGATCAGGGTTTAGGGTTTTAGGGTTTAGGGTTTAGGGTTTAGAGTTTAGGGTTTAGGGTTTCCCTAAGGGTCCATGTGACTAAAAATTAAAACTTTGGGGCCCTTAGAGCACTTCGTAGATGGGGGGACGGTGGGGCCCCAGTACAGGATAACGAGGTACATGGAACCTTGGGGCTTGTGTCATTTCATCAGACTAGGCTGCCCAGTAACCTAGGCTTAAAAAGGGTGCCCCCTTTTTTTGCTTAAAGGGGTTTATAAGGGAACCTAAACCCCCCAAAAAGGGAAAAAGGGTAGTACTGGGCATCCTAGCAGATGCCGGCTTGCAGTGGCAGCTGAGAAATACAAGAAAGGGGGGGGGATTTGCGACATAGGGGACCCCAAAAAACAATCCTCCCAAAAGTAGGATCCCCTTACACTACGGACCCCAAATAGGGTATCCCTAATTTCGGAAACCCCCCAACTGGGATGGGCCGCAGCTGACGAAGTTGGAAGGGAAATCGAAATCGCCCGAACGACCGAAGGAGGAGGAGGGAGTTGATAAGGTCTTTTGGGTCGGTATTACTAGAGGATTTAACTAGGAGAGAATACGGCCCCTGGGTCTGTTGGGTAGTTCTTACGAAAGGATGAACTAGGCGAGAATACTTGTGACCATCTTCATAAATCCTAAGCCTTAGGGGGCAGTCGGGTGAGGTTCAGGGCTTGTTAGAGGCTTCTGGTGGGGTTTTCAGGGGTTGCTCTCATGGATTGAGAGCTTTGGGATGCGGCAGTTTAGGGGTTTAATGTGGAGGGTCAGTTGCTTGAAGTAGCTGAGAAATCATTCTAAAGATGTAGGTATATAAGGTCTTGCAAAAGCGCACCCCTGAACCGTATAGGCTTGTACCCTGCAGCAAGCTACAGCGAGGCTAACGCCTCAAGACCCTGACAAGGGTTCAGGGCTTACAGGGCGCATGTCAACCACTGAGGCCTGAACCCTAAACCCTGTACAAACCCTGAACATTGAACCCTAAACCCTCATCCCTAAACCCTGAACCCTGAACCCGAAACCCTAAACCCTGAACCCTAATCCCTAAGCCCTAAACCCTCAACCGCACACCAGGCCTGTGAAGTCCTTGCAGAACTGCGTCAGCTCGGGATGCCCTGGGCTACTCGAGACTTTTGCGTGTCAGGATGTCGGGTGTGAGGTTTAGGGTGCCCGAAGTTGCGTTTTTTTGGTAAACCTAACACTACAGTAACACCTAAAAACCTGAAACTCTAAACCCTGAACCCTGGACGTTGAATCCTAAACCCTAAGCCCTAAACCCCATAAGACCTGCGCCTACACCCTATCGTTATCGAGGCCGAAGCCCGGTATAACTGCTTAAGCAGGAGCCTGCGAGGCAGGAAAGTCAGCAGGTACAGGGCTCTGCAGGGTTTAGGGTTTAGGGTTTAGGGATTAGGGTTTAGGAAAACGATCGGTTTGCCGCCCTAGCCCTGAACAAGCATGGAACTTCATGGGAAAATTTGCTCGCCAGAAACCCAGCGGGCACGTTTCTTAAGGCCCGTAAAATGTTGGCTGCAGGCTCGACGCGTGTATGGGAGTTTGCGCACCCCCCTTTTTCCTACAAGAAGGATTGCAGTGCATTTTGGGTTTAATGTTCAATGCTGATTAGTCTGATCCCAGGAACTGAGGCAAAGTGTTTGAGGGGGATCACATTGACATGCCCCACGGAATTGTGCTAAGGATTTCGGGTCATCCAGACACGCGGTAGCTATCACACTAACCCCCCCCCCCCCCCGCCAATTTTTCCCCGCTGCCAAATTTGACCCCCCTCCACTATTACCTACTTGTTGATCAGCAATCAACATATTAGGAATAGCCCCCCCCCCCCCCCCCCCCCCCCTATTTTTTGGGAAGTACCCACATATGACACCCCCGATTTATCTGGGACAAACGCTGATACTTGGGGGTTTCCGAAATTCAGGGGCGGGCTACCTTATTGGGGTCGTTACTATACGGGACCCTGAATCTTATTCCCCTATATAAGCCTTATATATACGTTATATAGTCCCCATATAACCAAGTAGCCCCTACATGACATGCAACGAACCCCTAAGGTAGCTTATCAGGTCCCTCCTTTAGTCCCTTACCCTAAACCCAAAACCCTACATCCTAAATCCAAAACCCCCACTTGCCCGTCTGAGACTCACTCAGGACGCACGTACGTACGGAACTCGTCCACACGCTCCAGCGTCGCGGCATCCACGAGGACCAAAGGAAATTCGATGATCTCCTCAGGATGCGCAAGGGCTCCTAAACCCTAAACCCGAAACTCTAAACCCTGACCCCTAAACCCTAAACCCTGAACCCTGAACCCTGAAGCCTATAAACCCTAAACCCTAAACCCTAAACCCCTGTCCTGAGGGTCGATCTTCGCATTATTCTCGCACGTCGCCTCGAAGTCCAGGACGGCGAAGCAGTCGAAGGTTTCTTTCCCTGGTACCTTGGTGGTTTAGGGTTTAGGGTTTAGGGTTTGGGCGGTTTGGGGTTTAGGGTTTGGGGTTTGGGGTTTGGGGTCGAGGGTTGAGGTCCTAAGAGGCTTGGGGAGGGGGCTGCGGGTTTGGGGGTTTGGGGGCTTGGGGGCTTAGGGTTTAGGGTTGAGCCTTGGGTTGCACACTACGCCCCGAGCTGCCAGTTCAGGCCCCTGATGTCGGTTTAGGGTTTAGGGTTTAGGGTTTACGGTTTAGGGTTTGTTTTTTAGGGTTTAGGGTTTAGGGTTTAGGGTTCAGGGTAGAGGTTCTACTTTGCACTACCCATGAATCTTCAAGTGAGGAATATCCATGTTCAGCTTTTTGGTTCATTTTTTTCTTGGGGGGGAGCTGTTTACGAAGGATCCCTCAACAGGTTCCAGGTTTGGGGTCCACCATGGAGTTCGCTACTACACTTTTACTCCTAACCTCAACCTAAATCCTAATTCTCGCCCGAAATCGGAAACTGCTGCGCCAAATGTAATTCCATACCTAAACGGCTGCGCCTGTTTACTTGAACAACATGCTCGACTACGCAGCCGAGCCCTTCAACCCGCCACCCTCCGCCCCCCCCCCCCCCCCCCCCCCTCCGGGCGAAGACCCAGGCCCTGAACCCAAAACCCAAAAACCCGACATCCCGAAATCCCTTAAACCGTGAAGCTTAAGACCCCACACCCACCTACAAAACTAAAGTCTTCGAACCCTGAACCAAACACCAAACCCTACCCCTGAATTCGGAAGCCTGTCCCATAAGCCCTACGCCCTGCACCCTGCCTCCACCCCAAAACTTAGTAGTGTTTAGGGTTCACCCAAGACCCTAAATTACCCCAAGCCCTAACACCCTACACCCTACACCCCACACCCCAAACCCCTAAACCCCAACCCCTAGACCCTAAACCCCAAACCCCAAACCCTAAGCCCTAAACCCTAAACATATCACCAGGATGCAGCTTCTGGCTCTGCCGCGGCTGCAGGCTCTGCTGCGGCCGCCTTCGGCGCTGCCTTGGGCGCCGCCTTCGTCGCCGCCTTCGGCGCCGCCTTTGGCTCCTCCTTCTTGGAGCCCCACCTCAGGGTACCCTCGTGAGGGTTTCGAAAGTTTAGGGGGTTAGGGTTTAGGGTTTAGGGTTTAGGGTTTAGGAAGTTTAAGGTTTAGGGTTTGGGAAGCTGAGGATTTAGAGTTGGGAAGCTTGGGGTTTAGGGCCTTGGGAGTAGGGTTTCAAGCTTCCAGGATGACCTGTTGGGCCTCATCCCGAGAATCACCCCTAGACCCTAGCCCTAAACCGGAAACCCTAAACCCTAAACCCTAAACCCGAAACCCTAAACCCTAAACCCTAAACCCTACACCCGCATTGTTACAGGGTGCGCCCTGAATCCGAAACCCCAAACCGTATGCCTTAAACCCTAAACAGCACACCCTAAACCTGCACCTTAAACTCTGACCCCGAAACCACCGGGCGTCGTAGGTTTGAGGCTTGAGGGCACTATGGGCCCAACGGTTGTTTGAGTCGATAGGCTCTTAGTTTAGGGTCTCGGGTTTAGGTTTTTTTGGGCTTGGGGTTTAGAGGCTCAGGGTTCAGGGGTTTAGGTTGAGGGGTTTCGGGCTTTAAGGGTCAGGGCTTTAGGGGTTTGGGGCTTGTGGTGTTTAGGGTTGAGGGTGCTTGGGGGCTTGCGATTTTTGGGACGAGGAACCCTAAGCCCTAAACCCTAAACCCTAATTTTGCTTGATGACTGCTGGGATGCTGTTTGTCAAGGTTGCAGCTCAAAGCCCTACCTTCAGGTTCGGGGTACTTAGCAACTAATTAGAAGTGTAGTTAAAACCCACTTACAAGCCCCTCAAGGGCGCTACTATGGTTATAAGTGAAATGATAAGTAGTTACAGTTGGTTAATGAGTACCCTGAATCTCCAAGTATACGCCCGAAACCCTAAACCCTAAACCCTAAACCCCAAACCCCTAACCCTAAACCCTAAACCCTAAACCCGAAACCCTAAACCCCAAACCCCCGTCCCCCGCCTCGACCTCTTCTTCGAACTGTCGGCTTCAGGGGCAGCAGCCTCCTCAGCATCCGCAGGTGCAGCGGGCGAGGAGCGCAGCGCTTCGCGCGCCTGCGCGTCGAGGGCTTGGGGGTTTGGGGGGCTTGCGGCTTTGGGCCGGGCAGGGGGGTAGGTAGCCCTAAACCCCACACCCCAAATCCTAAACCTTAAGCTCAGCTGGTCATATCCGATCCTGGTTTAGGATGCAGGGGGGGGGGGGGCCTTCATCAGCGCGAAGCCGAGGACGTTCCGACCCTGCCACTGCGTGCGGTCGTAGACACGAGGGTCGCCTTACGAGGCGTTGGGAGTTCTTGGGCTTTGGGCTTGGGGTTTCGGGTTTCGGGGCTTAGGGTTCGGGTTTGAGGGCGTACGGGTTTGAGCTTGAGCGTCGGGTTGAGAGTTTTCACAGCTCTAGATGCGGACGCACGCGTCTACAAAGTCAACAAGTCCAAAGGCATCGTCTCCTTGTAGCCCAATTGTTGCAACAAGGACAATCTGCAGATGGAGGTCGACTTTTGTTTGTTGCAAGTTCAGCTTCAACTTCAGGTCTACCCCAGCGAAGGTTAAAGCTGACCTACTTCGCGTCAACAAGGTAACGGAGAAATTTTCGCTTCGCCCGCGGCCGTGGGCATTCGCATTTCTCTGAGAAAATCCCGGGTTCCTCACCCTCCCCCCTCTCCTTCCACTCTCTCCCTTTTCCGCGTTTCGCTTATTCCTCCCTAAACGCTATAAAACCAAAACCCTACAACCCTGAACCCCTAAACCCTTTGCACGGAAAGCCGAACTTCCACGTGCCACAAACCCGTGAACCCCGAACCCCTCAGCCTCAACCCCCCCCCCCCCCACCCCCCCAAGCTCCTAAAAATCTTCTGGTTTAGGGTCGAGGGCCCAGCACAAACTCGCTGTAGAAACTTGTGCCATGCTTGCTACCCCTTGGTTACCTGTCCTGTGAACCTGAGAAGTACCCCTACACCCCAAAACCTACCTAACCCTAAACTAACCCTAAACCCTAAACCCTAGACCCTAAACCCTAAATCCTAAACCCTGAAGCCTGAGCCCAAACCCTAAACCCTAAACCCTAAACCCTATAGACCCTAAGCCCTACCTTGATGTAGGAATCAAAAGCGCTGGCGAGCCGCTCGTGGACAGGCCTACGCCCCAAATCCGATCATCCGGTGCCGCCTCTTCGGATGCCCAGTCTCGGGTTTAGGGTTTAGGGTTTAGGGTTTAGGTTTAGGGTTTAGGGTTTGGGAAGTTCAGGGTTTAAAGCTATAAGCCCTACATGCTTAAATCCCTAAAGGGGGGGGAACCTTTTGGGAGCTTTCATGTTTAGGAGTTGGAAAGGCCTTTGCCGGATGTTCTTAGGGTGTTTTTAGACGGGTTTCCGGTTGAGGATTTCAAGCGTCCTGGCGCGCCACTAGACTCTCCTCCCCGTAGAACCTTAGTACAAAAAATGATATTTCTAATATCCTCTTGGGTTTTATATGAAGTAGGGTATATATTTCTTGTACCCCCAAAAGGACACCAGGTACATACACTCACCAATATTAAAAAGGAACCTTATATACACTCACCAAAAACAGAAATATATACCCTACTTCATATGAACGAAAAATAATTCACAAGGGGGATGTAGTAGAAGCCAAGGACCTGAACCGCCCACCGACGCCTCCACAATGATGGCGTTGCCAGTCTTCAGCAGCTTCGTCGCTAACAGCGGACTGGATCCTTAGCTGGCCCTACGGGCAAAACCCTAAACCCTGAACCCTAAACCCTAAACCCTAAACCCCAAATCCTAAACCCTAAACCCTAAACCCTAAACCCTAAATCCTAAACCCTAAACCCTAAAGTCTCTAAACTTTGCGCTTCGGGGTTTGAGACTTATGCTTTGAGGCTGTTGGGTGGGTTGGGGTTGGGGGTTGCCTGGGTCTGGGTTTCAGGGCTTGGGCTTTAGGATTTGTAGGGTTTGATAAGGGTTTAAGGCTTAGGTTGCTTATAGGGTTCAGGGTTTAGGGTTTCAGCTGTAAGCGTTGTAGGCCACCCAGCCGCCACCCAGCTTTGAGCTTTGAAGGCAGAGATGGGCCAAACCCAATTTTCCTAACAAAAGCAGAAAGATAAATAACTCGGATCATAATCGTGCGTACTGTAATCCCTATTAAGGACTGTTAAACCTGTTAGTATAAGGGGGAACATCCCAACCCTACACCCTAAACACCCAGAAACTCCAATCACGGATGCCCTAAACAGATCACACACGCAGTTCCGAAGCTTACGAGTTCTTGTTAGGAGTTATGACCCCAAATGCCCCAGAAAATCGTTTAGGGGACTCTGTAGGGTACCTGATTCCTGAATTCCCGACTAAGGCCAAAACATAATGAAAAACTCCCAAAAGCCCAACAAGGCTCGACAGCTCCCGCTAAACCCTCTTCAGCACTGTTCTTGGAACCCATGTAAGAACATGTACATTTTGCGAGTCCTTACAAACATGGCCAGGAAAGATACAGTAACCCTAAACCCTGAACCCTGAACCCTAAACCCACTAGACCCTAAACCCGAAACCTTAAACCCTAAACCCTAAACTTTACACCCTCGACAACTGAATCGCTTGGGGGCTGAACTTCTGAACGACGACCTCGTAGGCAGTCTCCTCCTCGGAGGCTTGAGGCATGTTGGGAGCCCAAGATGACGGAAGGGTTTAGGGTTTAGGTATTAGTGTTTAGGGTTTAGGGTTTTAGTTGTGTTCAGGCGTGGATTTTCATGACTGTAATCTCTATAACCCCTCTTAGCCCATCAACTCCTACAATCCCTACACAGAGTCGTCTCGGGTGGAGATTGGGTGGGGAGGTGGCGACCTTGAAAACCTAAAGCCCCAAAACCCCTCCACACAAAGGCGCCAAGTGCTTCTGCCACAGGCAGTCATCAAAGTTGCGGACCTGCCATGCATGGGCAAGGACCGCCAGGTCCCGAAGTCTAGGGCTCAGGGCTTGAAGGGTATGGAGTCTAGGACTGAGGGCTTGGAAGGTATAGGCTATACGGTATAGAGAGAAGAAAGGGCAGAGGGTGTAGGGCCTAATTTTCGGGCGCGCCGTGAAGACTTGCGCGTAGTAGGGAGTCCGTACCACATGTACGCCGGGTAGGGGGTGTTTGGGGTGGCCCTTAAAGCGCTGTGACTATAGGGAGTCCGGTTTAGGGTTTAGGGTTTAGGGTTTAGGGTTTAGGGTTTAGGGTTAGGGAGTCACCTGTTCAATCCCAACCCGCGGAAGCTCCTGTACCCGTCCCTAGAGCTTACAAGGTCTCGGGCCCCCAAGCTCAACCCCAACACCCAACTCAGACCCTAAAGCCAGACCCTAAAGCCAAACCAAACCTCAACCCTAAACCTTAACCCTTAACCCTAAGCCCTAAGCCCTATGCCCTAAGCCCTAAACCCTAAACCCTCTCTATCACATATATATTTAAACCTTCGTGACTTTTCGGTCAATCTGCCCCCCATTGTTCGTCGGGGGGTGGGCCCCAGAAGGTTCAGTGGAAAACGTGTCCGAATTGGGTAGGGAAAACTCTCTGGTGTAAGATGAAAACCTTTTATTTTCTCAATGTTATGGGATTCTTTGGGCGGGTGGGGCTTTTTCTAAGCCTGGAACCCCGTAATGATTATGAATGCTAGAACAGTGACCCTCTAGACCCTAAACCCAAAACCCTAAAGCCGAACCCTAAACCCTAAACCCTAAACCCTAAACCCTAGACCCTAAACCCTAAACCCTAAACCCTAAACCCTAAACCCTAAACCCTAAGCCCGAACCCCTCCCCCCGTCTCCTTCCCACCTCTCGACCAAGGGCCTTGGCTTGGCCAGGTCGCTGGGCCCGCACGATCTTATCAAAGGTCTCCTGGGTTCGGGGGTTCAGGGGTTTTGGGGGTTTTAGGTTTAGGGTTAGGGGCCGGTTAGGGGGGGGGGGTTTAGGGGTTTTGGGGTCTAGCGGTTTTAGGGGTGAAGGGGTTCCAGGGCAGTTGCATGGATTAAGGGTTAGGCTCCTTGGCTTTCAAAGCTCCAGGGCCCTATGGAGTTTTAGGGTTTAGGGTTTAGGGCTTAAGGTTTCCAAGCTCCAGGGCTCTATGGAGTTTTAGGGATTTTTAGGGTCTTTTCGGGATGTAGGGCTTTCGGGGCTAGGGGTTCGATAACTCAGGGGCCTGGCGCGAAATGGGGTGTTCAGGGTTTCGGGGTTTAGGGGTGGTGGGCTTTCGGTTCAGGATTTAGGCTTAGGGTTTGAGGGTATAACCCCAGCCCTGCAAACCCCAATGCAGAGATACCTCCTGAATCCCTGGACGCCGCTCAATCTCCATCAGTCCACTGCCGAAACCTAGACGGCGCAGTTGCAGTACCACCCTGCAATTAGGTATCCGAAAAAGCATCTACACCCATAACACTGCAGGTGGTCTTTTTGGAAACCGTGGACCTCTAGAATTACTAGACACCCAAAACCCTCAAACCCCTGAAGCCCTACTCAAAAGACCGAAGGAGGGGCCTTGTCGTTGAACAGAGCAGCTTTTATGGCCATGATGGCGGCCTTGGAGGGCGACTGGGGGAGTCTGTACTGTCGGGCATTCTGGTCGGCCTTAGGACTTTAGGGTTCAGGCCTTCTGGGCAAGGTGCCGGAGTTCAGAGTTTACCCCCCCCCCCTCCTACCCCGTACCCCGCGTACTCCTCCCACGCGCAACCCAAAACCCCAAACCCCATACCACGCCACGGGGATACCATGAGGAGGGGGGGGGAGTGAGGGGGCCGGGTCATATATATATATATATATATTTAGATACACGAAGACGTATATACATATAGACATGTAAACACGTAAGGATTACATACGGCAGTAGGATTATGCGTTCCTTCCAAGGGTCTCTCCTAGCATCCCTTGGTGAAAGGCACATTGAAGCCCTTGAAGCCCCCAAGAACCCGCAGGGTTCAGCTCCGAAGTCCGACGTTCGGGCTCAGGATGTCGGGGTTTAGGGTTTAGGATGTCGGGGTTTGGGGTTTAGGGTTTAGGGTTTAGGGTTTGGGGTTAATGGCGGCCTCGGAGAACCAGCACTCGATGGAGTGGGGGAATCCTCCCAAGCGCGGCATTTTCGGCAAACATGCCAGGACCTGAGGGCCTCGGGTTCTACAGGGCCTACAGAAGCCAGGTAGCCCAGAAACCATATGATAGTAAGGGCACCCTTTTTGGGGTTGGTTTATCGAGGAACCCAGAACCACTGGGCTATTGAGGAAGTCCCAAACTCCCAACACCCCCCCCCCCCCCCCTCCTCCACCCCATCACACAAGTCTGAAAACCCCCCCAAGCCTGTTGGGTTTCCTACTGTACAGGCTTGGGTGTTTGGCGGTTTGGGTTGCCAGGACCTCCCCCAGGGTTTAGGGGTTAGTGGCTTAGGGTTCTTAAACAGATATACAGTATAGGATACCCGAGGTAGAAGTGATCTCCTGGACCCCATGATAACCAGAAATGACCTAGACCACCTCTATCTCCTGAACACCAATATAGGGGTCGGGAATAATTGCTACTAGCACCCCCTGATGGATATCATTATACTTTACTAGCCCCGAAAACCCCTGTCCTACTAGTAAGTTTCCTAGAATCGGCTCTTTTTGCCGGCAGTCCTTCTCTTTGCGCAAAGGGAGGGAGCTTGAACTCGTACGGTTTGTGGTGCTCGTAGAAGTTGCTGAACCTCGTGATGCAATCCACCGTGCCGGTGCTTCATCTTGTATGGAGTTTAGGGGCTTTGAGGCTTAGGGTTCTTAGGGGTTTAGGGGTTTAGGGTTTTGGGGGTTCAGGAGTTTTAGGGTTTTACGGGTTTGGAGGTTTAGGGTTTCGTGCATACCGCTACATTCTGTAGTCTTTCGGCCGGGCAAAGCAAGCTGGGAACATCATTCGGGAACAGAGCTCTTAGAGGACTAGACCCAGGAGTAACCTAGGAATAAAAAGGGTGCCCTTTTTGGTTTAAAGGGGGCTACAAGGGAACCCACGCCCTAAAAAAGGGAATAAGGGCCTACTCTGGGTCCTCGTCCTTCAGGAAAAGCAGAAAACAAACCGTAAGAGGAACATAGGGTTTAGGGTTTAGGGTTTAGGGTTTAGGGTTTAGGGCACTCTAAGCGACACTTGTAGATCTGCCCCCGCCCCCCCCCCCCCCCCCCCCCCCCCCCCGAACTTATGTGGAGGGTCTCGGTTCTGGGGGCGTGTTTTTGTACCCTAAACCCTAAACCCTAAGCCCTAAGCCCTAAACCCTAAACCCTAAACCCTAAACCCTAAACCCTAAACCCCCAGTTGCATCCCGCGAGCTCGCCGTACTCTGCACTCTTCCGGTGTCCATAGAAGGGCAGCACGCGGGGCTCCTCTGCAGGGCTCATGGCTTAGGGGTTGGGTTTAGGGGTTAGGAGTTAGGGGTTAGGAGTTAGGTTTTAGGGCTTAGGGTTTATAAATTAGGGTTTAGGGTTTAGGGTTTAGGGTTTAGGGTCTGGGGTTTGGGGTCTAGGGTTTAGGGCTTAGCTTTGGGGTCTGGCTTAGGACTGCAGTTGGGTGTTGGGGTTCAGGTTGAGGGCCTGAGGGTTTGGGGCTTAGGGTTTAGGGTTTAGGGTTTAGGGTTTAGGGTTTAGGGCTTAGGATTGTCCCGAGGGCTTGTAAGCTCTAGGGACGGGTACAGGAGCTTCCACGGGTTCGGCGCCCCATTTAGGGTTTGGGGCTTAGCGTTTAGGGTTTACTGTAGCGTTTAGGGTCTAGGGCTCACAAGGGGTCCGAGTATGAAAGGGCCAGCATCGCTAGCGCTGCTTCTGGCTCAGCAGGTCATGAAGCAGAATAGGAGTGACAAATACAGTACCTCTGGCTGGTTCTTAGTGGGGAATGAGGGAGTCGGTTTAGGGTTTAGGGTTTAGGGTTTTAGGGTTTAGGGTTTTAGGGTTTAGGGTTTAGGGTTAGAATCCCTCAAAGGGTATATATATATATATATATAGGGCCCTAGTCTGGGTTGATGCGCTTCAGCTGGGGCATGAACATGTTTGAAAGCCTGAATCCTAAACTCTCAATCCTACAAGTAGGCCTCCCGACTTGAGCCCACTATTTACTTGAGAGATCAAAGGTACCCTAAACCCTAAACCCTAAACCCTGAACCCTGAACCCTAAACCCTAAACCCCCCCATTTCCTCGGATGTCACAGACATGGTGGCCGCGTCTCTGACTCCCATCGCTGGGCAGCTTTCGCTTTGCTGAGGATGCTTGAGGCGGCAGACATGGAGATGTGGGTTTAGGGCTTAGGGCTTAGGGCTGAGGGGTAGGGCTTATAAATTAGGGGACATTGAATTCAGGGTGTGGGGGTTTAGGGTTTAGGGCTCTAAACTCGAGATGTTCTTAAGGTTCGGGTTGCAATAGAGGAAGCCCACAAGTTAACAAGCCTGGTGTTCGCCCGCAAGCCTGCCCACAAGCCCTACACTCGAACCGCGAAGGTTGCTTACTTCCCCAATAACCAAGGCCAAAACAAAAGGTTAAGCTTGAATATTCCTACTAAGTAAGGATAAGGAAACCCAAAAAGTTTGAAAGTTCAGCAAATAAGGAAACCCGGAAAGTCTAAAGTTCAACAGAAGGGCAGGCCCGTGTCCTACCAAACCTTGAGTTGGTCTTTTCATCTCAGAAAACCCTAAACCTTTTAAACCCGAAACCCGAAACCCGAAACCCTAAACCCTAAACCCTAAACCCTAAACCCTAAACCCTAAACCCTAAACCCTAAACCCTAAACCCTAAACCCTAAACCCTAAACCCTAAACCTGCAAGCATTTTCAACCCCCTAGCAAGATACAAGACCCTACCTAGTATTCTTCATGCCATGGCATGCTACCCCTTCTTCTCTTGGTAGCCCAGCAACTGTATTTCAATGAGGGCACCCTTTTGGGGTGAGTTGGGCCTTTTATAGGGGAACCCAGAACCAAAAAAAGGGCAAAGATTATAAAGGCCGGCGTGGTGAACTTACTCCCTAAAACCTACAAAACCTAAGCCCTAAGCCCTAAACCCTAGATGTCCAAGGAGGCTGCAGGTCTCAATCTGGGCCTACAAGCGCAGGTGATTGTCTCCTCAGCCTCCCTAAACCGTAAACACCTTTAGCTAGCGTTTAGGGTTTAGGGTTTAGGGTTTAGGGTTAAGGGTTTATCAGGGTTTAGGGTTTCGGGGTTTAGGAGTGAAGGGTTTGATTAGAAACCGTCAAACCAAACACCCAGAGGACCCCGGCAGCGAAATGGAATGCCCGGACGGCGACATGGGCTGCACTGGCGCAGGGCAGAATCTGGCCTGGCCAGGGTGGGGGCTTTAGGGTTTTAGGGTTTAGGGTTTAGGACGCACATGGTTCTTCAAGATTCCTGGGTAGTTTTCGGTACAGTCTTAAGAGGCAACCTCTACTGTAATCCTACGGTTGACGCCCCACGGACTTAACCCGAAATCCCAAACCCCAAACCAAACCCGTAAACACGAAACCCGTAGTTTAACCCCCCCACCCCCGCCCGTTCGCCCCAGCCAGAATCTTAGGGTAGATACATGACCCCCTAATACGCGGAAGCATTTGTTAATACCTTACTCACGTACCCCATAAAGTCCCCAAGGGCCCATGCGTCAAAACCCTTGAAAAAGGTAAGGGACCATGTTGGGGGACAATGTACCCAACCCTCTGAAGCCTTAAAACCCGGTAAACACTATGAACTCTTAAAACCCTACACCCTCAACCCTATAAACCCTACAGCCCGTACAAACCCTAGAAACCCTATAAACCCTTCCTTTATCCTTTAAACCCTAAACCGTGTAAGGGACCATATTTGGGGACCATGTAACTAGACCCAAGAGTGACCTACCCTGTTTTGGTTTAAAGGGGCTTATCAGGGAAACTGAACCCCCCCCCAAAAAAAAAAAAATTGAGGGAATTCGGGCCTACTCCGGGTCCTAGCCCTAAACCCTAAACCCTAAACCCTAAAACCCAAACCCCAAACCCTAAAATAAGGGCCTACTCTGGGTCCTAGGAAGGGGCGTGGGCGGCCTGCAAGGGTGGTCCGACTGGCGGCCTGTTGTTGTACGGCGAAGCACAGAGGATCCAGGGTGGCGGTTAGGGTTTAGGGTTTAGGGTTTAAGGTTTAGGGTTTAGGTTTGAGGGTTTAGGGTTTAGGGTTTGGGGTTTGATATTTTGGGTTTAGGATTTGGGGTTTAGGGCTTAGGGTTCGGGGTTTAGGGCTTAAGGTTTAGGGTTTGGGGTTTAGGGCTTAGGGTTTAGGGCTTAGGATTTGGGGTTTGGGGGAAGGGCTTAGGGCTCAGGGTTTAGGGTTGAGGGCTTAGGGTTTCGGGCTTGGTGTTTTGAGGTTTGGGGTTTGGGGCTTAGGGTTTGCAGTTTAATTAGGGCTTAGGGTTTAGGGTTTGGGGTGGTTGGGGGGGGGGGGTTGGGGGCTTGGGTTTGTTTGGCACCTTTGCGGGCATTACCTTGTTCTCAAAGTAGGTACTGCAGGGTCCGTAGCATCTACAGCGTGGGAAAGGGATGCTTAGGTCACAGGGTGGTCCAAAGCGTTCATGCCTATGCTGCGGGCTCATGGGCTAGGGTTTGGGGTTTAGGGTTCAGGGTTTAGGAAGAAGGATCGTGGGGGCATCCGATGGCCATGATGCCAGCTGTCATGGGAAAGGGTGCCGAGTCTCACACAGGTTGACCCTAAACCCTGGATCCCACGATGTGAACACACACAAACACACACTGATAAAGAAGTGAACAGACGGTTCGCAACATTATTGATATGATCCAATGTTACCCGAAGTAAGAGAGTCTTCAGATAGTAAGAACCCCAGAAAGGAACATAATTCGGAGAACTGGCCACACCCCTAGGGAGCAGAGGTTGAATTCGCGCGCGCCTGGCAGGCTGCCCAGACAGACCAGAGGCCGTGATCTTGGCAGTTGAAGGGGTTCTGGGGTTTAGGGACCCTGAACCCTGCCCTATTACAAGCTTGGGGTGTGGACCCCTGTGTGGTAGAGTTGCGAGCAAGAACAAAAAGAAAGCCATGTGTGGCTGAGGTGGAAATACAGGAGGCGGGTGTCCGTCTCTGTGATGCTGAGTCCTGACACTTCACGTGATATCTGCGCATCGGGAAACCTGCACTCAGGGGTACAACTTATTATGTAACACGTAATATGCGATAGCATGACTGAAACAAAAACATGCATCCACAAACGTATGAGTCAAAATGTGAAAATGAACATATATACATATCATATCTACATATGCGTAATAGGTATGCAAGTCGGCAGGTTGGAGCAAGTGTTCTTGAATGCGGTTGCACGTCAGCAAAATTTCGACAGCTCGATTTCTGAGAGGCTGTGGTCGCTCCATCCCAACCTTCCGAAGAGTGGTCTTTTTCCACGGTATTCTTAGTCCTCCCCTTCAACAGGTGCACTGTGGCATTGTTAAAATTAAGAGGGCTCCCATCTCCAATGATGCACTTTCGGCTTTTCCGCCTTTACTACTGATGGCCGATGGAAGTGGGGGACTAAGCATACACTGGATAGGACCGCGAGGGTGGCCCTCGCAGTTGAATTTGTGGCGACATATGGCCTGTTTGCAGGGATATGTGATCACGAGATGACTGTTGGAGTATTGTTGTTCGCAGATTCAAAGATGTCTTTCTACAAATCTTGGCCAAACATTGCGTCGCTGCCGAACACATTGTAGGTATTAGACACATGAAGTCATTCGGGTTCGGAAATCAGTCCGGACTCACTTGTTCGAGACCGTTTAATAATCATTCTAAGGTCTTGGCTTGGGTTCTTCGGGTCTCTGGTGACATAGTTTCCTTAGACCGCTGTGCTCGCTTCTATTGTTCCATGCTGGGATGGCATATCTCCTGGCCTGTGACGTGATGTCCCA